TAGTTATTGACTAAATAAGCATCTACATCTTTCTGTTTGCTGCAGAACTCTCGCTTCTTCTCAAGATTTCAAATCCTTCTACTGTATACTCTACACTGGCCCTATGATAAACTGTCTTTTCCTACCAATTCTTCTTCTTCGCTTGAGGCCCATGCCAAGCAGCCAGTTCTTACACACTATACTTGTGCATTGAACTAATTTAGTTAAACATTTGTTATAAGACAAAATTAGTAAATCAATATTCATGAACGTTTCTAGTAAGTCATTCCCTAGGTTACCATTAAGTTTCACACCTGCGTTCTTGTGTTAATAGAACTTATATTTATTTTGACATAATCTTGATTAGATATAAAATATGACATCTGTTTTGTAGACATCGATTCGTTTAGCTGTTTAACGTTTACTAGTATTCCAATACATTTATCTCGAACATAACTTAGGTTACTATTTTTATAGGTTTTCTACACTGTCTTGCTTAGCGTTGTGTACCCTAACTAAGCTAAAGTCTAGTTACAGCTTGTGACTCTTTAGTTGTCACTTCCATTTAATCCCTCTTTTTAATTTCGAATATTCCATTAAGCTGTCAGATAAGAACTATAGGTTTGACAGTATAACGAGACTACAAGGCAGCTTATTTCAGTTTCCACATTTTCATCTAGGATATCCCAACGTGTCTAATATTACACCAATTTCAGATAGACTCCTCCCTTGGAACCCTACACCTCAATACATACCCCAAAACGCCCTTCGTTGGTTTGGAGCCTTGTAGCATCGTTCATTTTGTGCATCTTTATAATATAACTTGATGGAAAGTTAGTTCTCTGTTAGAGCTATCTTCTGTCTTAGTTTCATCTTTAAATTTAACTTAAAACTATGTCGGGGCATAGCCTTTTCTCGCTCAGCCTTAGCTGAACACCTTATTAGTAAATCAAACTTTAGTACGTCAAGCTTATACTCTATCCAATCGTATTGCAATGTAGCCTGCCAATTTGCTGTCACTCTGACTTGTAAAACATTCACTATATAGGTAGATTGACATCTTGTACAGGTTAGTTGATCTTTAGTTGGCTATCGTTCGATAGTTGGTAGCTAAACTCAGTGTATACAACATCTTTTTCAAGTTTAGTATTAAATATATTTTGATCCAGTACCGGCTCTTCCTGAGTAAATCCCACAAGTTACAAGACAAGAACCCCTGTAACACATTTAATTTAGGTCCGTATTATGAAAAAACGACCTCCCCTTCATTTGTAAGGCAGCCTTAGGGGMCTGATCTATGTGTATCACTTCATTCATTTCTTAATGGCTTCATATCAAATCCGCATTTTACCATTGATSTTGCCACCAAACTCTTATTATCCTCTGCAGAAACTTATCTTGGGCCACATCGATTACTCCATTATATGTATTTAATTCATTTTCCATGTCTCGATAACATATCATAATACTCGCACTATCAGGGTTTTATAAATCCAAGTCGTTGTAAATATTCTTAGAGCGGATTTCGTATGAGTGGGACACCGTTACCGCACGGTTACCGCACAGTTACCGGACTTGGCCTTCAAAATTTTGGTGAACCAATTGGGCACTAGAATTTGGTTACAGTACGATTACGGTCACGGTACAGTACCGTCGGTTTCCCACTCATACGAAATCCGCTCTATGTTCTATATTTATTTGATTGTCAAGGAGAAAGTACGACAACGCCAAAAACAGTCACAACTCAAACCACCGCTACATCAACTGGTAAAGTCATTCTCATTTGATTTTCCAAAATGATATGTATAATGTGCATGATTTTGTGAATTCAAAATTAATTATAAAAGTTCTTTTGATTAAAAAGGTCCAGTTACTTCTACCTTTTTCAAGTTACTTCTACATTATTTCCAGTTACTTCTAAAAACAGTCACAACTCAAACCACCGCT